CTCCAAATCTCCAACTCGCTTGACAGATGCCAGTGCCAGCAGGAGAGCAGTCTTTAGCGAGAGTATTTTGAGATCAACCGACTGAAGGTGTTCAAACGGTGTTCCCTTCAGGGCCCTAAGGACCGGGGAGAGGTCCCAAGACGGAACAGATGGAGGTCTGGAGGGGTTAAGCCTCCTGGCTCCTTTCAGAAACCGTACCACCAAGTCATTTCTTCCTAGTGACCGGCCAGCCACCGGAGCATGATAAGCTGCGGTGGCTGCCACATACACTTTGAGCGTGGACGGGGTCCTGCCGTGTCTAATAGCTCTTGTAGGAAGAAGAGCACCACTGGTACCTCGCATGACACAGGTTCAAAACATTTGTCCAGACACCACCTGGAAAACACTGACCATTTAGAGCAGGGGACTTTGTCCACCATCTGAACCAGCTCCGGAAACCACGGTCTGGATTTCCAGAGGGGGGCTACCAGGAGGACTGGGCATCCGCTCTCCCTGACCCACTCGATAACCTGGGGTATCATTGAGATGGGGGGAAATGCATAGGGGGCGGTTGGGCCAACGCATCCCTGTTTTTCGAGAAGAACACTGTGCAATGAGTGTTGTTCTTTGAGGCAAAGAGTTCGATTTCGGCCCCGCCAAACACTTTCCATATCAGGCGGACCGTCTGAGGATTCAGGGACCACTCGCCTAGGGGAGTGTTGCCCTGGGACAGCATATCTGCACCCGTGTTGAGGATGCCTGGGATATGTGCTGCTCTCAGGCATCTCAGAATGGCTTGTGCCCAAATAAGGAGATCTTTCACCAGGGCGTACAGGCTGCCCGACCTGACGCCGCCCTGGCGATTTATGTATGACTCCACAGATGTATTGTCCGACCGGACTAGCACCTGGTGTCCCCTGATGTTTGGCAGAAATGCTTTGAGGGCCAGACAAACTGCTTTCATTTCCAGGCAGTTGATGTGTAAGCTCTGCTCCGTGCTTGACCATAGGCCGGAGACAGGCTTGTCCTCGTGTAACGCTCCCCAACCTTGGTTGGATGCGTCTGTGAAAACCACCTTCCAAGTGGAAATCACCCCCAAACTCACGCCCTCGAGATACCAGTCTTGAGCCAGCCAGGGAATCAGTGCCTGTAGACAACCCTGATTCCCCGTGACATACAGGCTGCCTGACTGCCACGAGCGGGCTGGCACACGGCGCTTGAGCCAGTGTTGCAGCAGGCGCATACGCAGTAGTCCCAAACGGACTACTGACGACGCGGCTGCCATGAGACCCAAAAGTCTCTGAAACCTTTTCACTGGGCGTTCGCCTGCCCTGAATGAGGCTGCGAGCTGTTGAATAGAGAGCGCGCGCTCTGCTGTGAGGAACCACAGAAACCACAGAAACCGAAATTTCTCGGAACAGCAGCATATGTCCAAATTTTAATCTTAACCGTTTTATTTCATCAGAAACGATCTTGAAACAGGGCTTTAAGTGTAAAATACCGAACTTGTCCTTTAATAATGTATTTAGGCTACAGTTTTTCATACAAATACCATAGAACTCAGATTTGGCAAATGTTCTCATGTTTGGCAAGTGTTTGTCATGATATGTTCTGACAATAAAGAGTAGTTTAAAACCACAATTAATGCTCTGGTTTCTACAACTTTCACTTAGGAGCAAAAATCTGCCTTTAAACTTGAAAGAAATAAAGATTTGACATTTATCGTGATAATTATCGATATGGACTGGTATAAAAAAATTATCGTGATAATTTTTTTGGCCATATCGCCCAGCCCTACTCGTTTATAATATAGTAGTATAGTTTTTAATCCAAAAACTGATGTGTTATCTCATCCGCTCCTTATCACTTGCGAGGCCTTTTTGGATTACTTTGCCCAAAAGATCTCTGAGATTAGATCCACGATCGAACCAAGTTCGTTTGATCCTTCAGTTGCCCGGACATTATCTGTCAGTTTTGATCATTTTGAAATGATCTCCCTGCAGTCACTAACCGAGATAATTAAACAGTCAAAATTAACTGACTGTTTATTAGACATTATTCCAGCTAGGTTAGTAAAGGAAGCATTTGATGTTCTCGGTCTGAGTATTTTATCTATCATAAATAATAGTCTTTTAAATGGAGTTGTTCCTAAGCAGTTTAAACACGCTTTTGTCCAGCCTCTTTTAAAAAACCACATCTTGACCCTGCGGTCGTATCAAACTATCGGCCAATTTCGAAGTTACCCTTTTTATCTAAGGTTTTGGAGAAGGTCGTTCTGAGTCAAATAAATACTTATTTGATTCAAAACGATATATTTGAAATTTTTCAGTCAGGTTTTAGGGCTTACCATAGTACTGGGTCTGCTTTGATTAGAGTTTCAAATGATCTATTGACTGCAGTTGACTCTGGGTCCTCAGCAGTTCTTGTTTTATTGGACCTTAGCGCCGCATTTGACACCATCGACCATGAGATTTTATTCTCACGCCTTGAAAATGCTGTTGGAATTTGTGGTACAGCGCTTGCATGGTTCAAGTCTTTTCTTTTAAATAGAACCTTCTCTGTAAATATTGGTCAAAAGTACTCACAATCCGCATTCATGCACAGTGGGGTTCCTCAGGGGTCCATTCTTGGCCCAATTATGTTTTCCTTGTATCTGTTACCCCTTGGGTAAATTTTTAGTAAACATGGAATCCCTTTTCATTTTTATGCAGATGATATGCAAATTTATCTCCCTTTGAAAAAGAATAGTAAAAACCAAATAGAGTCGGTGTGGGATTGTATACATGACATCAAATCATGGCTATCTTTAAAAAAAATTAAACTAAACGAAGAGAAAACTGAAGTTGTGTGGTTTGGAGCTTGAAATAATTCTGTTGATCTTTTTTATTTATTTTATTTTTATCATTTCACGTTTATTGTCGTTGTCATCCAGAGAACAGCAACGAAATTGTGTTCGGAGCATGCAACAACCGTACATGATGTATTAAAGTGCGCTAACAAATAAATAATAAATACTAAATACCCCCTGTGTAAACATGGCACATCAAAAGTATATAGTTTTAAGACACAGAACCAGTGACATTCACTCTTGATAGCAGCAAGAGGCTTTACAAAACAACTTAAAAGACATCCAGAACAGAGAGTATGGTCAGAGTTGGATACAGATGTAGTTAATGCAACAATGCAAAGTCCAGTTCACAGTTATTACACAATGAGGTATGGTTTACTGTCCATGGGAGGGGGGGGGGAGGAGAGGGGGCAAAGGGCATCATTAAGCAGCCTCACTGGGTAAGGGTACAGGCTGTTAGCCAGTCTGGCTTTACTGGCACCAATAGACCTGTACCTTCTCACATACCCCTTTTCCACCAAGGCACAGCTGGTGCTGGTTCGGAGCCAGAGCCTAGTTTCAATTCGGTTCTTTGTTTTTCCACATGCAAAGCACCAGCTCCGAACCAGGAAAAGTGGTTCTTAAGTAGCACCAAATCATTGCTGGTCTAGAACAGAGCCAAGTAAGAACCGCTTGCGTCAGGGGCTGGGGGCGGGGTTACCGTGACCAACAAGACGAATAGAAACTTGTGACCGCCATTTTTAAATAGCAGCTAGTCGAGCTAATACCAGCTTGATTATAATATCCGTCTATGTAAGTTACGGCGAGCTGCACAAACGCATTGGATTCCGATGTATTTTTGCAAACCCATGAGCATCCATAGTAACGCAACGTCCGTTATTGTTGATGGCTTGTTCGAGATGCATCGGAGCGGCACGGACCGATCGGAGCTGCGGGAGTGCTTGGAGATCATACGACTCCTTGTGCTTTTGGATCGCTTTCGCAGTGCTTTGATGTCATGCGGCGATCGATCTGCGAGAAGCCGATGCATCTCGAACAAGCCTGGCGTGTTTGTGTTTGGCGCTACCGCACTAGCGTTGCTGGGCAACATGAGACGTATGCAGTGACGTAAGATCTGGCTCTGTTGTGGCTCTCTAGCCGGTGGAAAGGCAAACCGGTTCTTAGTAAGCTTGTCAGTCGAACCAACTCCGAACCAGCTCTGGCTCTGGCTCTGAACCAGCACCCGGTTCTTGTTGGTGGAAAAGGGGTACCGGAGGGCAGCAGGTGGAACAGATGATGGGCCGGGTGATGCCGGTCCCGCAGGATGCTATGCACTCTCTTCAGACAGCGGGTATCATAGATGGTACTAATCTCTGGGAGAGTGGTCCCAATGATTTCACACGCTGTGTTTACCACTCGTTGGAGTGCCTGCTGATGGGCCTTAGTGCCGCTGGAATACCACACCAAGAAGCCAAATGTCAGAACACTGCTGATGGCACAGTTGTAAAAATTGACCATCAGCTGTTTTGGAATCCTGGCACTCCTCAGTTGCCTCAGGTAGTAGAGGCGTTGCTGGGCCTTCCCTATCACTGAGGTGATGTTGGTTCCCCAGGACAGGTCCTCGGTCACAGATACTCCCAAGAATTTGAAATATGGCACCCTCTCTACCACCTCATTGCCAATATAGAGAGGAGAGTGATTGGGTCTGCTTTTGCGGAGGTCCACAATAATCTCCTTAGTCTTTTTGATGTTCAAAGACAGGTTATTATTGACACAACATGACGCTAGATGTTGCACTTCAGTCCGGTAATCCGCCTCGTTGTTGTTAATGAGTCCGAGCACTGTTGTGTCGTCGGCAAATTTAACAATGAGATTGGAAAAAAAGGGAAGCAGAGCAGTCATGTGTAAATAGAGTGTAGAGCAAGGGGCTAAGCACACACCCTTGGGGGGCCCCGGTGTTAATTGATAGGGTGGAAGACAAGTGCTTGCCTACTCTAACACTCTGTGTTCGATATGTCAAAAAAGTCCACAATCCAATTCGCACAGCGAGCTGTTGAAGCCAAGGTGGTGCAGTTTGGCTCGGAGTTTAAACGGCCGGATTGTATTAAAGGCCGAGCTATAGTCGACAAAGAGGAGTCTCGCGTAGGTGTTCTTGTGCTCGAGATGTTCCAATAGCATGTGGAGCACAATGACGATGGCGTCCTCAGTCGACCGATTCCGTCTGGCTCTGCTGTATAAATCATGGTCCCAGCGCTCTATTCCTAGCTCGGATCAGTTGTTCAACTCCGTGTGTAATCCAAGGTTTCCTATTGAGATATACACGGAAATGTTTCCAAGACGTAACATTATCCACACAGAATTTAATGTAACTCAGGACAGTGGAGGTATATTCATCCAATGACTCACGAGTATCCGTGCCCTGCCCCTTGAAGACATCCCATTCTGTGTGGTGGAAACATTCCCGTAACATAGGGATGGCGTCCTCTGGCAACATTCTCACGGTCTTGGTTGTCATCCCAGCGCTCTTGATCTTGGGTGTATACCGTGAGTGTAGCAGCAGGGAGAGATGGTCTGACATACCCAGGTGGGGGTAGCCCTGGGCCCTGTATGTTTCTGCTACATTAGTATACACCTGGTCCAGCGTTTTATCTCCCCTAGTAGCACATTTCACATTGCGATGGAATTTGTGAAGAACAGTTTTTAAGGCAGCATGGTTAAAATCCCCAGCGGTGACAAAAACACTGTCCGGGTGTGCTACCAAGTTGTTATTTATGCTGTTGTAAACCTGTGCAAATCCGATGCAAACCTGTGTAAATCTGGGTGATCTAGCCCCTTTCTGTAAGCCATTAGTGCGAAATTTAGGAGTTCTGTTTGATAGTGATCTCAAGTTTGAGAGACAGATTTATTCTGTGGTCAAGTCTTGTTTTTATCATTTGAGATTAATAGCGAAGGTGAAACCATGTTTGACCATGTGTGATCTCGAAAAACTCATTCATGCTTTTATATTTACAAGACTATTTTTTGTTACTATGTTCAGATTACTGTAACTCACTCTATGTCGGCATAAATAAATCATTGATTAATCGCTTACAATTGGTCCAAAATGCACCTGCGAGACTTTTGACAGGTACTCGTAAGAGAGATCATATTACCCCAGTTTTGAGCACTTTAAAGTGGCTACCGATCGATTACAGAATAAATTTAAAAATTCTATTTTTTGTTTATAAATCACTGCATGGTATGGCTCCATTGTATTTGGTAAATCTGATTAAGAAATATGAACCAAAACGGTCTTTGAGGTCAGCTGACCAGCTGGTTTTAACGACTCAAAGAACAAAACGGAGATTTGGAGATCGAGCTTTTGTAGCGATTGCTCCAAAACTCTGGAATGAACTACCTCTTTTTTTATTAGATTGGAAGCTAAATTAACTGTTTTTAAACAAAAGCTTAAGAAATACCTTTTAGATTTAGCATTTAACGGGGTATAGTAGCTGTTCTTGTTTGCTTTTTTTTTTAGCTGAGGTGTTTATTTCGTCGTCACTTAACCGTGGCGTGGCGTCTGTGTGTTTGTATGGCTGTGTTTTTGTCTCTATTTTTGTACAGCACTTTGTTCAATGACCAGTTGTGTAAAAGTGCTTAATAAATAAATAAATGAAAATGAAATGAAATCAACATTAACAAGCTTCCTCATATGTTTAAAGCAAGACAGTTTATGCAACATATTAAACAAGAACAACCTTTAATTTAACACACAACATGGGTCAACAAGAGTATTATCACCATATTTCGTAACTTATATTTAATATGCTCTAGGAGCTTGCCTGAGGTGATCATTAACAGAGACACATACCTCTCTGCCCCTGAAACTGCAGAAGTCCCCAAGTGGAGAAACTGTGCAGGACAGAGTAGAGTACCAGCAGGAGAAAGCAGATTCTGGCGCTGAGGAACAGTGGATGATCATAAACACAGCTGATGAAGACTTTACTCTGACTGGATTGGAGTCTGGAAAGCAGTACTTGATCCGCTACAGGATAGTGAGTAAAGTGGGAGTGAGTGAAGCCAGTGTCACTATACCGTCTTCAGGTAAGTGTCTCATGCACATTTTTTTGCAATAATCTATATTTACTTCATTCACACAGTCAATGTTTGTATTGATATATTTCCTAACAGGTGTGTCTATTAATAAATGTGTAAAATCTTGTAAAGGGGTTTCCATTTGACTGTATATACTGTATATGAACATATTACTTCCTTCGTTCATGTTGTTACAAATAGTCCTTAAAGACGCAGAGTATATTATGTATGATAGGGCTATGTATTGGCAAGAATCTAGCGATACGATACGTATCGCGATACATGGGTCACGATTCAATATATTGCGATATATTTCGATACTGTGCATAAGGCGATATATTGCGATTTTTTTAAAGTAGGACTACAATTTTAGAAAGTATTATTTAAAAAAAAAGACATGATGTGCATAAAATTCAAACAAGTTTACTTTAAATAAACAATTCAGTACACAGAAAATCAAACTGCCAGTTTGGGATTGTGGTTCACAGGTTTTAAGTGAGCAAATTTGTATATGCTCAAGTAGGCCTTAATAAAAGAAAATACATAGCCCCTGTCACAATACATAACATACACACATGTGTGCAATCTGAAAAAAGAAAAGACATCTGTCTATGTCAATAAAAATAAATAAATGCTTGCACTATTCCTAGTACACAGGGTACATCCAACACGTTTTGTGTTGCAAAAACACGAACACAATTCAAGTCAAGTATATTTATATAGCGCTTTTCACAATAGTATCAAAGCTTCACAGTATAAATCAAAATAACATAACAATGTTTGTTTCTTAGTGGAAAAAACATCCACGTTAGGTAGGGCTGATCAATGGTATTAATGATTGGTTAATTCATTTGAATATCCCCAATTCCTAAAGGAAACATTGAGGAACAAATATATAAATAGTCAGTTAAAGAAAATACATAGCCCCTTACTGTGACATCTAGGCTAATGCATAACACATAAGGTGCAATCTGAGGGGCAATCTGTCATTAAAAAAATGCTTGCACTATTATTCATACAGGGTACATCCAACACATATCGTAAAACTTCAAATAATAGCGAGTCCCATATAGACGCCGGTCTCTTTTACACGCCTGATGTGGCGAGTGGCGACAGGTTTGGGTAAATAAAGGCCAGTCTCAAATAGAGGCGGGGTCTGTTTTTTAGTTTCGGGTTGTATTTAATCTTTTAAAACCTGTCAAATCGTCCGCTTTTTAGCGGCTGCCAAAACAAATTTGTGTCCCGCCAAAGCCTTTTTTTATCGGTGAGTGATGTAGAATAGAAAGACTGCTGCGCTTGACAGGACACAAACGAGCAGAGAGAGAGAGAGAGAGAGAAAGAGAGAGAGCGCCCCGGCCGCGCGCGCGCACTCTCACGTCTTCAAACAACACGCGCGCTGTCTTGCTCTCTCTCCCTCGCGCATATCAAAATCATAGACACTGTAGGCGAGGACACTAGTGGTGCGTCTCATTCTAGCCATCTAGTGGTAGGGATTTAAACACAACATAAACGCGAACCACGGCAATAGTATGAATATTTTTGCACGTAAACTAAAAATTTTGCGTTTTTGAAAATCGATACAGTATTGCAAAATAAAATATCGCGATACTCAAGTGTATCGATTTTTTTCTTACACCCCTAATGTATGTAACGTCAACTGTAGGCTACTATACTTATGTCAGGGTTGGGGTGATGAAAAGAGCGAGGACTCCAGAATACAGAAGAATAGGCTTTTATTAATTATAAAAATAAAACAAAACACAAACAAAAACTACCCCGAGGGGGAAAGCATGACCGACTTGACTTGAGACTGGAAAACAGAGAGCGGGATTATTCACAGGTAGACATTTGACAACAATCTGGCACAGGACTGCAAACACAAGGAGAACAAAAAGGGAGCAAACAAGGCAGGTAACGAGGGAGGACATGTTTACTACTGCACAAACTCGGGTAAAGCGAACGCTTGAAGACGGTATAGTGACACTGGCTTCACTGACTCCCACTGTACTCACTATCCTGTAGCGGATCAAGTACTGCTTTCCAGACAACAATCCAATCAGTTTACTACTGCGCAGACTCGGGTCCAGTGTTCACTACTGTGCAAACTCGGGTCCATTGTTCACTACTGTGCAGACTCGGGTCCAGTGTTCACTACTGTGCAGACTTGGGTCCAGTGTTCACTACTGTGCAGACTCGGGTCCAGTGTTCACTACTGCGCAGACTCGGGTCCAGCGTTCACTACTGTGCAGACTAGGGTCCAGCGTTCACTACTGTGCAGACTCGGGTCCAGTGTTCACTACTGTGCAGACTCGGGTCCAGTGTTCACTACTGTGCAGACTTGGGTCCAGTGTTCACTACTGTGCAGACTCGGGTCCAGTGTTCACTACTGTGCAGACTCGGGTCCAGTGTTCACTACTGCGCAGACTCGGGTCCAGCGTTCACTACTGTGCAGACTAGGGTCCAGCGTTCACTACTGTGCAGACTCGGGTCCAGTGTTCACTACTGCGCAGACTCGGGTCCAGTGTTCACTACTGTGCAGACTTGGGTCCAGTGTTCACTACTGTGCAGACTCGGGACCAGTGTTCACTACTGCGCAGACTCGGGTCCAGCGTTCACTACTGTGCAGACTAGGGTCCAGCGTTCACTACTGTGCAGACTCGGGTCCAGTGTTCACTACTGCGCAGACTCGGGTCCAGTGTTCACTACTGTGCAGACTCGGGTCCAGCGTTCACTACTGAGCAGACTCGGGTCCAGCGTTCACTACTGTGCAGACTCGGGTCCAGCGTTCACTACTGTGCAGACTCGGGTCCAGCGTTAACTACTGCGCAGACTCGGGTCCAGTGTTCACTACTGTGCAGACTCGGGTCCAGTGTTCACTACTGTGCAGACTCGGGTCCAGCGTTAACTACTGCGCAGACTCGGGTCCAGTGTTCACTACTGTGCAGACTCGGGTCCAGCGTTCACTACTGCTCAGACTCGGGTCCAGCGTTCACTACTGCGCAGACTCGGGTCCAGCGTTCACTACTGTGCAGACTCGGGTCCAGCGTTCACTACTGTGCAGACTCGGGTCCAGCGTTCACTACCGTACAGACTCGGGTCCAGCGTTCATTACTGTGCAGACTCGGGTCCAGCGTTCACTACTGTGCAGACTCGGGTCCAGTGTTCACTACTGCGCAGACTCGGGTCCAGCGTTCACTTCCGTACAGACTCGGGTCCAGCGTTCACTACTGTGCAGACTCGGGTCCAGCGTTCACTACTGCGCAGACTCGGGTCCAGCGTTCACTACTGTGCAGACTCGGGTCCAGCGTTCACTACTGTGCAGACTCGGGTCCAGCGTTCACTACCGTACAGACTCGGGTCCAGCGTTCATTACTGTGCAGACTCGGGTCCAGCGTTCACTACTGTGCAGACTCGGGTCCAGTGTTCACTACTGCGCAGACTCGGGTCCAGCGTTCACTTCCGTACAGACTCGGGTCCAGCGTTCACTACCGTACAGACTCGGGTCCAGCGTTCATTACTGTGCAGACTCGGGTCCAGTGTTCACTACTGCGCAGACTCGGGTCCAGTGTTCACTACTGTGCAGACTCGGGTCCAGCGTTCACTACTGAGCAGACTCGGGTCCAGCGTTCACTACTGCGCAGACTCGGGTCCAGCGTTCACTACTGTGCAGACTCGGGTCCAGCGTTCACTACTGTGCAGACTCGGGTCCAGTGTTCACTACTGTGCAGACTCGGGTCCAGTGTTCACTACTGTGCAGACTCGGGTCCAGCGTTTACTACTGCTCAGACTCGTGTCAAGTGTTCACTACTGCACAGACTCGGGTCCAGCGTTCACTACTGCGCAGACTCGGGTCCAGCGTTCACTACTGATCAGACTCGGGTCCAGCGTTCACTACTGCGCAGACTCGGGTCCAGCGTTCAGTACTGCGCAGACTCTGGTCCAGCGTTCACTACTGAGCAGACTTGGGTCCAACGTTCACTACTGCGCAGACTCGGGTCCAGCGTTCACTACTGCTCAGACTTGGGTCCAGTGAAATCTGACTCGGGTCCAGCGTTCACTACTGTGCAGACTTGGGTCCAGTGAAATCTGACTCGGGTCCAGCGTTCACTACTGTGCAGACTTGGGTCCAGTGAAAGCTGACTCGGGTCTAGCACAGACTCGGGTCCAGCGTTCACTACTGTGCAGACTCAGGTCCAGCGTTCACTACTGTGCAGACTTGGGTCCAGTGAAAGCTGACTCGGGTCTAGCACAGACTCGGGTCCAGCGTTCACTACTGTGCAGACTCAGGTCCAGCGTTCACTACTGTGCAGACTCGGGTCCAGCGTTCACTACTGCGCAGACTCGGGTCCCGCGTTCACTACTGCTCAGACTCGGGTCCAGTGTTCACTACTGCGCAGACTCGGGTCCAGCGTTCACTACTGTGCAGACTCGGGTCCAGTGTTCACTACTGCGCAGACTCGGGTCCAGTGTTCACTACTGTGCAGACTCGGGTCCAGTGTTCACTACTACGCAGACTCGGGTCCAGTGTTCACTACTGCACAGACTCCGGTCCAGTGTTCACTACTGCGCAGACTCGGGTCCAGTGTTCACTACTGCGCAGACTCGGGTCCAGTGTTCACTACTGCGCAGACTCGGGTCCAGTGTTCACTACTGCACAGACTCGGGTCCAGCGTTCACTACTGCGCAGACTCGGGTCCAGCGTTCACTACTGAGCAGACTCAGGTCCAGCGTTCACTACTGCGCAGACTCGGGTCCAGCGTTCACTACTGCTCAGACTTGGGTCCAGTGAAAGCTGACTCGGGTCCAGCGTTCACTACTGTGCAGACTTGGGTCCAGTGAAAGTTGACTCGGTTTCCAGCACAGACTCGGGTCCAGCGTTCACTACTGTGCAGACTCGGGTCCAGCATTCACTACTGCGCAGACTCAGGTCCAGCGTTCACTACTGGGCAGAATCGGGGCCAGCGTTCACTACTGTGCAGACTCGGGTCCAGCGTTCACTACTGTGCAGACTCGGGTCCAGCGTTCACTACTGCGCAGACTCGGGTCCAGCGTTCACTACTGTGCAGACTCGGGTCCAGCGTTCACTACTGTGCAGACTCGGGTCCAGCGTTCACTACTGAGCAGACTCGGGTCCAGCGTTCACTACTGCGCAGACTCGGGTCCAGCGTTCACTACTGCTCAGACTTGGGTCCAGTGAAAGCTGACTCGGGTCCAGCGTTCACTACTGTGCAGACTCGGGTCCAGCGTTCACTACTGTGCAGACTCGGGTCCAGCGTTCACTACTGCGCAGACTCGGGTCCAGCGTTCACTACTGTGCAGACTCGGGTCCAGCGTTCACTACTGTGCAGACTCGGGTCCAGCGTTCACTACTGCGCAGACTCGGGTCCAGCGTTCACTACTGCGCAGACTCGGGTCCAGCGTTCACTACTGTGCAGACTCGGGTCCAGCGTTCACTACTGTGCAGACTCGGGTCCAGCGTTCACTACTGTGCAGACTCGGGTCCAGCGTTGACTACTGCGCAGACTCGGGTCCAGCGTTCACTACTGCGCAGACTTGGGTCCAGCGTTCACTACTGTGCAGACTCGGGTCCAGCGTTCACTACTGCGCAGACTTGGGTCCAGTGAAAGCTGACTCGGGTCCCGCATTCACTACTGTTTAAACTCGGGTCCCGCGTTCACTACTGCGCAGGCTCGGGTCCCGCGTTAACTACTGCACAGACTTGGGTCCAGTGAAAGCTGACTCGGGTCCAGCACAGACTCGGGACCAACGTTCACTACTGCGCAGACTCGATTCCCGCGTTCACTACTGCGCAGACTTGGGTCCAGTGAAAGCTGACTTCGGTCCAGCACAGACTCGGGACCAACGTTCACTACTGTGCAGACTTAGGTCCAGTGTTCACTACTGTGCAGACTCGGGTCCAGCGTTCACTACTGCGCAGACTCGGGTCCAGCGTTCACTACTGTGCAGACTCGGGTCCAGCGTTCACTACTGTGCAGACTCAGGTCTCGCGTTTACTACTGTGCAGACTAGGGTCCAGCGTTGACTACTGCGCAGACTCGGGTCCCGCGTTCACTACTGGCAAGACTCTGGTCCAGCGTTCACTACTGCGCAGACTCAGGTCTCGCGTTTACTACTGTGCAGACTTGGGTCCTGCGTTCACTACTGGTCCTGCCATATACCTTTCGTCAAACGACCACTCATGATCGGCCCTGAATCTGTGAGGGAAGCATCCGTCGATAGCGTTACGCGTCGACAAGAAGTCCCCAGCACTGGGCCTTGGGCGAGGAGCCAAGGTTTGTTCCACATGACTATGGCACATAGGCATTGCCGCGTGACCTTGATCATGTGAAACGGATTGTCCCTCAGAGAAAACCCCTTGGTCCTGAACCACCACTGCAGGGGTCTCTGAAACTGTTTCACAGTGAGTGACTGGCCTAGTTTTACCCCATTTATGGCTGAGAGAATCGAAGTAATACGTGCAGGTGACAATTGTGCCCGCATCGTTGTCGAATCCCATACCACACATATAAAAGTGGTTCTCTGAGATGGGAGGAGCACAGTCTTCTTGGCGTTGAACCTCAAACCCAGCATCTTTATGTGGGACAGAACGACATCTCGATGCCGAACTGCCTTCTGCTCAGACTGAGCTAAAGTCAACCAATCGTCGATATTATTCAACACGCAGATGCCCTGGAGTCTCAGGGAATCTAGAGCTGCATCCACGCATTTTGTGAAAGTGTGGGGTGATAAACCTAGGCTGAACGGAAGAACCCGATATTGGTACGCTTCGCTCCCGAAAGCGAACCTCAGGAACTTCCTGTGATGGGGATGGATGGATGCATGGAAGTAAGCGTCCTTCAAGTCTATCATGACAAACCAGTCCTCGGACTGAATCTGTGACATGATCTGTTTGAGTATAAGCATCTTGAACTTGAGTTTCTGAACCCTGCGGTTTATTTGGCCCAGATCTAGAATAGGACGCAACCCTCCATCTTTTTTTTTAACAATGAAGTACCCGCTGTAAAACCCTGACTCCCTGCTGGGAGGAGGAACCCTTTCTATAGCCCCCTTTTTTAGAAGAGTCTGCACTTCCTGTAGGGAGGACCACTGTAGGGAGGACCCCTTGAAATCTGGGCGGAAGAACCGAACTGAATTCTGTAACCCTTTTCTATTGTAAGCAGGACCCAATGAGATATATTTGGCAGTAGCTTCCACGCTGCCAGAAAATCTACTAAGGGAGCCAGTCTCTCGAGACTGGCCTCTGGATTTGGTCGAACAGTCACTTTGGTGCCCTGAAGCAGCGAACCGGCAGGGAACAACAAAAACGTTACCACCCTTTATCAGCTTGTATATTCACACGTAGTAGATGAGCTCACATCAGCCGGGAAGATACCATTTGTCAAATAAGTCAACTCAGTCCATCAGGTACAGCATAATCTCTCTGCTGTACCCCTTACTATCTAACTATCTAACCCCCCTCTACTGACTATCTTCACTGCCGAGACACTAATTATCCCGAACGTCCGTTTAGCGTTTCCCCAAAGTCAGAGCTCCCAGCATACGAAGACACCCCTTGCATCTCTCTCGAACCACATTTAAATGTTTCTCAAATAATGAGCTTCACACGAATCACCTGTACACTTCAATTTCATTAGTGAGCACCCATTCACATGAACCTAGGGGGCGTGTACATTAAACATCTAGTCATCATCACAATATGATTACTTTGTATGATGAGCAAGTGAAATTTGAGTTCTATTCCCTCTCAAATCAAATGGGTGATCAGTTCTACAGAAGTCAAGTCAAGTCATCTTCATTTATATAGCGCTTTTAACAATGGAGATTGTTTCAAAGCAGCTTTACAGAGATAAACATACAATTTACAGTAACAGAGATTGTTTTGGCTTTATAGCGATTTTTGAATAATGTTATTTCCAGCTAAAGTTAGTTTTGATTGATTCACTTCCAGCAAAATTATCATTTGTTATTAAATTAGGGGCCACTAAGACGATGGCGTTCTCTCTAAACAGACTTTAAACGCGAACCTGTGACCTGATGGCGTTCACATGCGCATTAAGAATTGATTCCATAGTTATATTCGTTCGAATGTGTGTGCGCAGGTTTGTAATTTCCCTACAAACCATGCCTAAACAAACTACTTGTCTTGCCTATACATTAGATAAAGAATTTTGTTTTATTTTATCACTTCGGGGTACGCAAACCGGATTTTCAACAACGCTTTATCTGTAGAGTGGGAAAGGGATCCTCCATAGGGAGAGGATAGTTGACACTTCAGCACTGCAATGTCATCGGGTCCAGGCGAATCTCCTTCGTCAGATCTGGATACGGCCTGGATCCGGCAGGCTGCAGGAAAACCTCGGGATAAACAAAGACACTAAAGTTAGCGTAGATGCCATTCTTCTTATGATGTAACGAGTACATCTGGATTTAAGGGAAGTGTTCCCAGTTCCGGCTGACCTAATCTATGCAGCCTAACATTTAATTATAGAAGTCTATAATGTATTATGTGTATGCTAGGTCAAAGAGATGTGTTTTTAGTCTAGCTTTGAACTGACAGAGTGTGTCTGCTTCCCGGACAATGGTAGGAAGACTGTTCCAAAGTTTTGGTGCTAAATAGGAAAAGGATCTACCGCCTGCAGTCGATTTAGATATTCTAGGTATTATCAACTGGCCGGAATTTTGAGATCGCAATAGACGTGAAGGACTATAATGCGTTAAGAGCTCGCTCAAGTACTGCGGAGCTAAACCATTTACTGCTTTGTAAGTAATCAACAATATTTTTAAATTTATACGATGTTTAATAGGGAGCCAATGCAGTGTTGACAGAACCGGGCTAAAATGGTCATACTTCCTGGTTCTGGTAAGAACTCGAGCTGCGGCGTTTTGAACTAGCTGTAGTTTGTTTATTAAGCGTGCAGGGCAACCACCCAGTAGAGCATTACAGTAATCTAGCCTTGAGGTCATGAACGCATGAACTAACTGTTCCGCATTTGTTAATGAGAGCATATGACGTAATTTAGATATATTTTTAAGATGGAAAAATGCGGTTTTACAGATACTAGACACGTGACTTTCAAATGAAAGATTGGTATCAAAGAGCACACCCAGGTTCTTAACCAACGACGAAGACTTGACACTAATTATACTAATTAATTGTCAAATCAAATATGGTGACATGTCAATATTATCAAACCCTCAATAGTGGTTGTGTCAGGATCTGGGCTCTGTAAACAGCAGAGACATTTCTAAAAATCTTCTGTGTTGGAGGATTTCTGCATGTGTTAGCAATGGATGCAGGATAATTTTCTCTTGACATGATAATCACACTCTTCATACCTGTTGATTTCCACAGACATGGCTCCCAAGACCAGGAACGACTTCCTTCAATGTAAGTAAGAAAACAAGCAGAAAAACTCACTGGGCCCTATTTTAACGATCTGAAACGCAAGTGTCAAAGCGCAAAGCTCAAGTAACTTTGTGGGCGGATCCCGGCGCTGTTGCTATTTTCCCGGCGGGATAAATGCCTCTTGCGCCCGACGCAAATCTAAAAGGGGTTGGCCTGAAGTAGCTTCATTATTCATAGGTGTGGTTTGGGCGTAACGTGAAATAAACCAATCAGAGCGTCATCTCACATTCCCTTTAAGAGCAGGCGCGCTTGTTCTAAAGCGGATTCCTATTATAACGGCGGATTTGCCAGGCGCGCGCCAGGAGCGGTTCACAGCCGAGGAGAGCAACGTTCTCGTCAGGGCCGTAAAACACAGAGAAGTGACATTGGGGATGGAGAAACCCACCCAAATTAACTTCTGTTAAACAGGCGTATGATAATTTGGGTAAATGTGTAAGCTACATGCTTTTATAATAAATTGTCTATCTATCTATCTATCTATCTATCATAATAATGTATGATTTGCAAAAATGAAAACTGCTGCTTAGATGAGAGAATCAAAGTGTATGCGCGTTGTGCACACGCTACATTGATTATGGCCAAGCATGCGCGCTTAAAATAGCATAATGAACAACGCGCAACGCGCCACTGACTTTAGACTAGTTTTTTTCTGGTCTGTGGCGCAATTGTTTTATAGAACAGCAAAATAGCATGAGGGAAAGTTTGCGCCGGAACACGCCTCCTCTTTGCGCTGAACCGCCCCGGGGAGCGCAAGTGTATTTCTTAGTTAACCGACGTGCGTCTGTGGAGGGAAAAGCCCGCTTTGCGCGGGTGCAAAATAGGAATGATACATGCGTCAGTGTACAAAGTCATTTGCGCCGAGTGCAAGATAGGGCCCACTGAGTGTATTCATGTTCTTCCTGCAGAAGCTGAGAGAAAACATGACAGAAGAGTTTTAGAGTTGATCATGTAAATGATGTTTAAACTGTACTGAGATATGTTGGTATATTGAACATGAAGAGATCAGCTAAGATCAGATTCATAACTCCTGATTCTGATGTGTTTTATCTCCATCAGATTCCCATCAGCTCACTCTGGACCTGAACACAGCGAATAAACACCTCTGTCTGTCTGAGGGGAACAGAGTGATTACTGGCAATTTCACAGAGCTTCAGTCGTATCCTGATCATCCAGACAGATTTGATTGTTATGAGCAGGTGTTGTGTAGTGAGAGTTTGTGTGAACAACGCTCTTACTGGGAGATTGAGTGGCGTGGTGGTGTGTCTATATCAGTGTCATATAAGAGCATCAGCAGGAAGGGATGGGGTGATAAGTGTGGGTTTGGATTTAATGATCAGTCCTGGAGTTTGGACTGCACTCCCTCCGGTTACTCATTCATACACAATAACAAAGAGACTAAACTCCCTGTAGTGTCCAGTCGTAGAATAGGAGTGTATGTGGATCACAGTGCAGGAACTCTGTCCTTCTACAGCGTCAACAGAGACACAATGAGCCTCATCCACACAGTGAAGACCACATTCACTCAACCACTCTATCCTGGGTTTTATGTTTTTCTTGGATCATCAGTGAAACTGTGTTGATGAATCAGAATAGACTGTTGAGAGATTCTACCCATAATTCTTTGAGCTGCATGATAAATCAGTATCAGTGATATGTTATAAAGTCTCTTATTTTCTCTTCATTGCATTAATAATACAGCTGAACTTCTGTCACTGAAATATCAGGTCAGAATTACTGTATAATAAATCCTCATATAGACATCAGTGTGTGTGACGGTGCGTATCTGTGCTTTTCTCAAGCTCTGTTTGTGTTGATGAAGATCAGCTTAATTTAGTTTTATAGTAGAGTTACATCAATCATTTATAATTTATGTAGAATTGGGATTTGTTAAACATATTTTAATCCAGGTGTATTTTAGAGGTTCAAGCACTGAAGCTGCAGCAACATTATTGTATTTGTACTATTTTGCCAGTTATTCTTTCAATCAAATAAATAAATGAATAAAACTGATACATCAAAGCTCTGTAATGATATTATCATTTGTATGTATTGATCTGTATCTGCTGATCAATCCTAAGGAATCCTGATACACACAGGGTATTCTGAGGAAAGACACCAGCAAGATGCTCCAATCCGGCCACTGGGGGCGCTACAACTGACCAAGAGCCAATGACCTTAAACATATATAATCCTTTTGTAGGTCCGAAGAACTCTTTTACAACTCGATCTTTTGCTTATCCTTCTCGTAAAAATGTATCCTAAATATAGATATCCGTTTCCTCAATAAACAACTCTTTGATATCTTTACGCGCTATGCGTTAACAAGGCTGCTTCTCCACAACTGCGTCACAAATTATAAATCAATTTAACAGTCTCCTTCACATCAAACTTCACTTCTCCTCTTGCTACATTGTCTCTGGACACATAACTTCAATTCTAATATTTTTTTTTCCAATTAGATCAATCAAATACTCTAATATCTTCTAGATAGATCTGAATCTCGTCTGCCATGCCGAGAGCTCAAGCGAAAGATTAGATATAGAAAAGACAATATATATATATAGACTATAATGGCGCCAATATGGCAAGCCTAACATACCTAAATCTGCAGAAACAGTTTATCGTCTCTCACTACCCTCGATGGTGGGGTGGCAGTGCTCCTGCAAGCAACCTCTTCCCTGCATGTGATGGCCACCCTGAAACTATGGAAGGCCGATTACCCTTTCGAACGACGAGGTTCAGGAGGAGACATTGTCGAATGATGGTCAGTTGGATCGTGATGGGCAAGTGAATCATGATGCTCGGGTCTCTGGTGGTTCCTAATTGTCAGTCAGAGTTGCAGTGTTTTCACCAGTCTCACAGGTGGGGTAGTTAGAGACTGTGTACACACACTGCAAGGTGTTGGTCCTCGGTCAGCTCCATCCTGCGCACCTGTTCTTGACCCAGTCAGGACAAAAGTGATGGAGATGGTTTTTGAAGGATGCCATTAACCCTTTAGGCGCCAGAGGTTTTTTCCTAAAACGTTCGATTTTGACATCTTAATTTCAAATGGCTATATCTTAAAAGCAGGGCCGTCGCTAGTGGGGTGAAAGGTGGTGACAATTATAGGGGCCCCCGCTGCCCAGGGGCCCCACAAAATCCAGCAGTTATACTATTTAGGCCCCTGTTGTATGAATAATTCTAATATTTATATTAGTTTTATGCCTGAGATTTAAATGAAAACCGCAAAAACATGCAATTTGGGTAAATATTTTTCCAAATATCTGCTTCTCTTACCTCCATAAGAATGGTTTAGTCCGACCTAGGGTATTTTATTAATTATTCAGTCAGAGTCAGTGACAAACATCAGATGGACCCAATAAAATTGTAAGTCCCACCCCAGCTCGTGAACAGAACCATAGGCGTCGATTTCGGTGGGGACGGTGGGTAAAAACACGTGTGTTTTTTTGAAGGGACAAGTGAAAGAGAATTGTACTTGCCCAACCGGACAAATGCCCTGATTCAAACTATTTTTAATATAAAAAAAATATAAAAAAAATAACCAGGGATAATAATAATCACCGAAAACACGAGGATGATTCTGATTTTATTTTATTTAATATAAGTGGCGATTGATAGCCTATAGTTGATAATAATGTAGGCCTACTGACGGTAACAAAGTTGCGCTGTTGAGGCTCGCGTATTTATGTATAACATAGCCTATTATACAGTTAAGAAACATCACACCCGAGTGCTGGTTTCAGGAATACCATTTTGAAACCGAGACAATGATTTCAAAACAGTTCAAACAAATAGTTAAAATTAAGTCACACACATTTAAGACGCAATGACTGTTTTTGTTCTGTTTCAGCAGCGAAAATAGTTCCAAACAAAGATCACAGCAGAACCATAACTCATCTCACAGGAACACTCAGCCATGTTTCAGTACTGAATGATTCAGCATTTTGAACGAATCGGTTGAGTCAAATATTCAATTACCCATTCATAAATTGCCTCATTCTGAATAAATCAGTCGTTTGAACGAATCGTTTGAATTAATGACTCAATGACTCGCTCATTAAGACGGTCGCCTGCCGCCTTCTACTGGCGGTTTAGTTTCAAAGTATCATTCTTTTTTTAACATTCCTTATTTGTAGGCTATATTCAAAAAATGTTTAAAACACTCTTATCATCTCATTTAATACAGTTGTAATTTTTTTATGTAGCCTAAATTATTTAATTTAATTGGTAACATAACAGCCAAGTGTTCTCTCCACCAGTAAGCTGGTGTGTGGTGGGCGTACTGGCCCAATATGGCTGCCGTCGCATCATCCAGGTGGAGCTGCACATTGGTGGTGGTTGAGGAGATTCCCCCCTTCTATGTAAAGAGATTTGAGTACCCAGAAAAGTGCTATATAAAATGTAATGAATTATTATTATTATTAAGTGTCTTATTATTCTAATTGAATACCGGTAGGCCTATTGATCAAATTTAAGAATTTAATGAAAGATGGATTAATAAAATTAGAGAAAAAATGCCCTTTATAAAGGTAAAAAAATTATATTCTGATAAGTGTGTTTTCCAACAGTGATGTAATGAAACATTGACAATTTAAGTTTGTAGGGAGTAAAGCCTCTGTTTAGGCTATTAAGGAAATGTAATTTTGCCAAAAGAAGAACTTTTATTTAAAAGAAATCTTAATTTTAAATCAGCCTACTTACCATATTATCATGCCTAACACTGAGAATTTTAATAATTGTAATGCCATGATCAAATGAAGATATCTAAATCAAAGAATATCATAGGCTCGGGCGGTTGACGGGTGGATTATTTATTTTTAACAGGGGATTCGGGTGACTCAAAGTGCACCAGATTAATGAATTTATCTTTAAAATGTAAAAAAAAATCCTCCAGGGGGGCATGCCCCCGGACCCCCCTAGAAGTACCGAACTCGACCCACAAATATACTGAAAAAAAAGATGAATGCGTCATTGTACCCAGCACTTCGGAAAATCCACTTCCGAATGCGTCTCTGTCCCCAGCACATTTCAAACCAAACAGAGTTGAGGCGGCAGCCTGAAGTTAACGATGAACTTGGTGGAAGAGCAGGAGACTGACTGACTGAAAAATGTCGGGGAAAAGAAAACATAAATCAGGGAACCAGAAATGCCAGGAAAAGACGGAGAGGGAGGCAAGGAGAGTGGTTGTATCCCAGTCGATCAAGATGTTCTTAAAGACCGGTTATATATTGTTATTTCGCTGGGAATTAGAGAACTTCCGTCTACAGTCTGCCGTGTACAGTCATTTTTTATTATCGGTGCGCGCCGCAATCGACCGAATGATTACGTGGTCTAAATTCCTGTCTTTTTACACTATTGTAACTAGAGTTTAAAAAAAATTACACGAGTCACGACGCATTGCATTATGCATCTGACCTGCCGGCTGATGATATTTAAAACATCGAGAAAACACGAATACACTGCACTTGGATGAATAAATGTATGCGCTTTATTTAATAATATTACCAGTCCCATATTATCTTTATTAAAAAATAAGACAATGAATGGTTTTATTTTTTGAATTAGACTGCATTCTTGTCAATTTCTAAATGTTTACTTTTTGATTTATGAATTATAACAGACTGATGGGGGAAAAAAAATATTACTTTTTAAAAATTGGTTTTATTATTATTTAACAATTTCTTGCTTTTTTGTTAGTTTTTATTAGTTGTAATTTTTATTTAAACATTTAACTTTTAAAATAAAGGTTTTACAACAACATCACCATCTTCTGTAATGTGGGCCTCCATGTTCATCTATTGTACAGTATATGATATTGGTGGAGGGTGGTGGTGGCCCACATCAATATTTTTTCAGGGGGCCCCGAATCCTCTAGCTACGGCCCTGCTTAAAAGTGATAAAAGATAGAGACTTTCTGTAAATTAGAGAAATGTTAAGGATCACCCAAAGTTTTTGTAGGGATTACATTTTCCCATTTAATTAGCATATTATGACGTCATATGGTGGCGGCAATCTTGGATTATATAATTTTCATGAAAAGTCAAATGTTTAAATGATAAAATGCAGCACTTCTTTCTCCCCAAAGTGTCCCTCACCTTCTGGATGCTATATTACACAATACTGAATGCTCAGGTATATAGTTAGTAGTAAACAAACTGTGTAAATCATTACTAAGAAATGGTAGAAACAAACCGAATGCATGCAGCGGTTGGCCTTTTGCTGTAGAGATTTTCCATTTACTAAATACAGTAGACACTCTGATTCCATGTATGGGGCACATATATATTATTCATATGACATACAAACACAAGTAGACAAGACCTGTTTAGTTCAAAAGCTCACTCGCCACGGCAAGGCCCAGATCATGAGTGAGATGATACGAGCAGCGCGGCCAGATCGAGTGTGCACAGCTCGGACTACTGTCATTGTCATTGCGACTCCTCACCCTGCCTCCACGTTGCCTCCTAACTGTCCTATGAATACTTCGACCTCGTCTAACATACCCAGTGGCATTAGACAAAGTCTCCACCACAATACTGTCGCCGCGATTGCGGAGAGGCTCTGATAAAATGGCTCACTCACACACTAGCTCCGCTTTTGATCGCACAGATTCAATGCGCTCTAACTCGAACATTTTGTATAGAAGCATGACATTTTTTTTGAGTCGGGGATGAAGTATGACATGTCTGCCATCTAGTGGAGGGGAGCTCGAACGAAATTTGACACAAAATTTGACAAAATCGGCCGTTTTATTCAGTGCCTC